CACACCGTCACAGAGGTCTCCTCCGACAGTACAATCGTAGAAGCGTGTGTCCCTGTGCAGGGGGGGGAGGGGAGGTAAAAGTTACTTTGCGTGGAAAGTTTAATGTTCCTGAACAAAGGAAGGTGTCAAATAGTACTTAATAGCGTATATGTATTATATATCGATGTTAATTTTAAAACTATGATTGTTAATAACTTTTTAACGAAGGGCGAGCGACGGCTAAAACTTGTTGGAGGTTACTCAGGGTCATGACCTTGACAACATATGTCAAGGTCAAGGTCATTGGAGGTGGATCCCTTAAAATGAATAATTACCATATAATATTGTTTAAATATAAAATAAAAATTTAAATGAAAATTAAAATATATGGCGCGCGCGGAGCGCGCGCTTGTATTGTTCTAATCTGTTAATAATTTGCACCAGAGGTTTCTTAGGTGATTTCACAAGCTTGTTAAAGATGTTCTTATGTAACTTTCACCCCAAAACGCGGACAACGTTCTTCAGGACTTTTAAAGGAGTACTTTGATGAAGAATACAAGAACATATTAGCAGCTATTCAGTCATCAAAAAGGAGCATATTGTACGACTTCGAGAAAAAAATTAATGAATTGTGAAACGTGTCTTGATAGTCAGTCGTACCATGGAAATGCCAGACGAAAATATAATAAAATTAAAGACGATTTGGGAGAGATGCTTCTTGCTAAAACTATGGAAGATTTTTTATCCTTTGAGGAGACGATTGCCACGACACAGGAGAAGAAAAAAGCTTTGGTATAAAGACATTGAAATAATATTTATTCATTTATAAGCGCTATACGATTTATTTGTAAAAAAAACAATACAAAACAGGAGCATACAGCCACGCACAGGATGTATCTCCTGTTTTGTATTGTTTCTTGTTTATTAAACTACCTCATTTAAATTAATATTTTTACTTTGATTCATTTATGTGTATTTACAGATAAAGTTTTACCAACTTTTTCTTTGCGGAGAAACGTGTATAAAAAGCCGTGTGAAAAAAATAATAACGTCGACACTTTCTAACAATAAGTCAATAGAGATGGAATATTCCGCTTATGGTAGGCAGATCCATTGGAAAACAAGATTTTAGCAAAACGTAAACTTTTTCATATCTGAACGGTTAGTATTATTGTTAAAATATCACAATATAAATGAAGAAGGATTTTTTTAGCCAAGCTAGATGTTATGTGTTAATAATTATAAACATTTATTTGTAACAACCTTTGTTGATACGTAAGGTATCCCTGTCGGGAATTCTTATAGACTTTTTTTTGATTGATACACTTTATATTTTCTCGTACAAAATAGAAGGACTGGACTTTCAACGACGCTGCTCAACGAACTTCTTCTCACGTACAAAACTCTAACTCTCTGCGCACCATACGCTGCGCACTATAACTAACTTATCGATCGATCGATCGCTCGCTCCGTAGCTCGCTCTACAATAATTTTGTAACGCTCCGCAACATCCTGCCCGCCTTGAAAGGCTTGACTTTCAATATAAAATACAAAACGCTCTTACTATTAATGTAAACTTATATCTATTCTTCTAGTGGCAATACGCTTATTTTCTGAATCGCACGCTGGGTCAATCCCAACTGAGTTTTCATTTCTACCGTCCTAACTAATCCATCCGATCCTTTAATAAGCTCGGCTATGCGACCCAATCTCCATTGAAGCGGAGGAGCGCCATCGTCTCGTAACAATACAAGAGCACCCATCTTAAGATGAGGATTTTCTTTGGTTTCCTTCCACCCTTGTCTAGTTTGTAAATTTGCAACGTACTCTCTTGACCAACGCTTCCAGAAGCCCTGCATCACACTAGAGAGCAATTGAAAGCGTGATAAACGATTTGATCGTATCTCCTCAAGACCAGGTTCTGGAATCGCAGTCAATGGCGCTCCTATTAAAAAATGACCCGGCGCAAGTGCTGATAAATCCGAGGGATCCGTTGACACTGGAGTTATTGGTCGCGAATTTAAAATAGCTTCGATTTGGGTAAATATTGTGGTCAACTCTTCAAATGTCAAACTATTTTGATTTATTACTGCCTTTAGATGAGTTTTAGCCGCCTTTACAGCTGACTCCCATATCCCACCGACGTGAGGAGAATATGGAGGAATAAATGTCCATTTAATCGATTGTTCCGCAGTAAACTCTAAAACTTTATCCTTTAATTGTTTACTTTGTATAAATTTTACCCACTCATTCAATTCATTTCTGGCTCCTACGAAATTTCTACCATTATCCGAATATAGATGACTACTTTTTCCCCGTCGGGCGACGAATCGTTTTAAAGTATTAATGAACGCAACTGTCGACAAATCAGAAACGACTTCTAGATGAACAGCTTTAGTGGCTAAGCAAACAAATACAGCTAAATAAGCCTTGCCCGATTTATTACGTGATATCTTAATTGTAAATGGGCCTGCGTAATCAATACCAGTATGAGTGAACGGACGTCCTGGATTTACTCGCACTGCTGGCAAATTACCCATAAGTTGACTTACATTTCTCGGAGACTTACGAAAGCATAATATACATTTACGTAATACACGGCGAATTTCTTTTCGAGCTGATACAATCCAATAATTTTCGCGAATGATCGCATTTAACGTATTAAGTCCTACATGTAGATACTGATAATGTTTCTCGCGAATCAACAAAGTAGAAAAGGAATTATCGGAAGGAAGGATAATAGGAAATCGCCGATCATATGACAGTTCTGCGTTCCCAAGACGGCCGCCAACTCGCAATATCCCTTGATCGTCCAAAAATGGATTCAGCGCTAAGATACGGCTACTCCCTGATACACTCCTGAACTTCCCCTCCTTACTCAAATCCTCAATTTCTCGAGAAAATGCTTGATGTTGGGCTAACTTGACTAACGCGATATTAGATCTTCTCAATTCTTCCACTTCCAAAGGTCCATTACCTCGTTGCGCTGACCTTCTTGCGTTTTCTACAAATCCACAACAATAGGCTACCACCCGCCTCAAGTTGGATAGCGAAGAGAACCCACGTAACAGGCTGCTTCCCTCTTCATGAATCGCTACGAAGGCCCCTCCTCGGGACCCCTCCTCTAATCCGCCCGGACACTCTTCAATAAGGTCACGTGGCCATTGATCCGGAACTTCTTGCAACCACGGTGGCCCCGACCACCACACCTCCGAATGGGGCAATTCACGAGGATCCACCCCTCGAGACAGCATATCCGCAGGATTGGATTTTGTCCTTACATGACGCCACTCCTCTTGATGCGTTAGACCTTGAATTTCTACAACACGATTCGCTACAAAGACCTTGTAGTTGTTTGGCTCACCTCGAATCCAGTGAAGAACAATACTAGAATCAGTCCAATAGACATACTTGCTTATCGAAAATGTCATAACGCTTTTTATTTTGCTAGCAAGTTTCGCAAGTAGTACTGCGCTGCATAATTCTAATCTCGGAATTGAAATAGTCTTCATAGGAGCTATACGTGATTTGGACGTTAGTAATCGTACGGTTCTTTTTTCCGTAGAGTCTTTAGAACACAAATAAATGCAGGCTCCATAAGCTACCTGCGACGCATCACAGAATCCATGCATTTCCACTTCGATGACGCCTTTAATTACCGCTTGACGTGGTATCTGTATTTCTTCCATAGTTTCTAGTCTTTCTTTATAAGCATTCCATTCGCTTACAAATTCACTCGGCAATTTGTCATCCCAATTCACGCTCAACTTCCACAGTCTCCTCATAAACAGCTTGGCCTTTACTACAAAGGAGACTTTCCTTTTATTCTACGAGCATTAAACAGCCAGATCCGCTGTCCTTTCTCAAACTGGATTTTTCTGGCTTTTTGATCATACCAGGTTTTAGTTTGTGAAGATTTAATATCTACCCGCTTCCTTACGCCTTCATAAATGTTCTCCAATTTCCTGTTTACTTTTCCTAAATAGCCCACAAGAGAGTCTGCTCCCTGGGCTCTAGGCGGATTACCTCGCAATAAATCCATCGGCAACCTAAGGTCCTGAGCAAGATAGAGTTCCGCCGGGGTTAACCCGGTCGTTTCGTGTTTAGAAGATCTATACACCAATAAGAAAAGTGGGATCCATCGATCCCAATCCCTCTGATTTTCCGAGATGAATTTAGCCAAATAATCTAAAATCGTCCGATGCTGTCGTTCCACTTATCCATCCGATTGAGGATGAAGGGCAGTAATCCTCGTTTTCCTAATTCCTAACATGCCTGACAGCTCACGGAAAATTCTCGATTCGAAGTTCCTTCCTTGGTCGGTGTGCACCTCCAAAGGAACTCCGCCTAGAAATAACTTGATTTAAAAACATTTCCGCAATAACTTTGGATCTAACATTTCTTAAAGGGAAAGCTTCCACTCATTTAGTGAAGCAATCTAAGACGACTAATAAATACCTGTTTCTGGAAGAAGACGCAGGTAACGGTCCAAGAATATTTAACTGAACTCTTTCGAATGAAGAACCTATGTTGTATATCTGTAAAGGAAACTTTCCTTTTCCACTCGGGCCTCTTCTTGCTATACAAATCTTACAAGTGCATCATTCCTCAACATCTTGTTTGCACGTTGCCCAGTAAAATCGCTTTCGTACCTTGTCTAGTGTTTTATTAATACCAAAATGTCCCCCCGTGGGAGAATTGTGCGCCTCCTCCAAGATTTGCCTCACACAACTTCTAAGCACAATTAATTGGAACACGGTCTTCCTCAGATTAGAAGCTTAACAACAGATTAATAACATGTTCTCCAATTTTACAATTGCCCGCAATAACATTGTCGGAAAATACACCACAAAAATTATCCAGGAATCTAGCAAAGTTTTCCTTTTCAGCCTCATTCAAATACTGAGAACTTTCTTTAAAAGGGGTTGTCATGTTAGACGGAACTGCTTTAGACACGATGTTCTCTATACGGGAACACTTTGTCACCGTATCGAACTCAGAAACCGTATTGAAAAACATTGTATCGAAGACATTTTGCAAATTGAAAAATCTAAGAAAATTGACCCCCAAAATGCAATCATCATTTATCTCAGCTACTAAAATTGAAAACATCAAGGTATAATTCGCAAGTCGAACTTTAACTTTAACTTTATATTTAACTAAAACTTGTTCCCCCGTGGGATATCTAACGTTACAATTACAAACTTCCATCTTTTGTCTATCAAATTTCAAAAAGTTCTTGTTAATAATAGAACGTCGGAGCCCGTATCAATTTTAAAAATACAATGTTTATCATTCATCTCCCCTTCGTAACAAAATTCCCTCAAGTCCCGTTTAATCTTATTCTCCCTGAAAAAAACATAGATTAGTACAAGCATTTTCACACAAAGAAAATTGATTTTCAACACAAAGATTATTTTCTTTATTTACAATTCCATTTGACCTGAAAGAGCAATCATCATTAATAAAATCAGCGATACGACATTGCCGATCAGTACCGCAAATATTCATCGGGGTATCTAAATCTCCAGTCAAGCTCACCCCGCCAAGCTCGACTATTCCTTGTTTCCCGTTTCCGTCCCCGCTTTGCCTGGATACTCAGATCGAAAGTGCCCCTCCTTTCCGCACTCCCAACACTCTCTCTTATTACCAAATTTTACTCCGTTCTTATTTTTCGAAAATTTTCCCTTCCAATTTTCCTTCTCTCTTTTCTCTTTATTATTTTCTCCCCCTTTACCATATTCACATTCTTTTCTTCTTTCTTTACTATTTTGAAAATCATTTCTATACCCAAAATCTGGAGCAGAAAGAACGCCGGCTATGTGGAGAAGAAAGCAAGGACAAAACCTGCACCTACTGTGCCGATGCCCTGCACTCGCTTGTAAAAGATATAAATCCTGGGGACATATGTTTTTGACACCCAAGGATCTAGAAAATGCGAAGGTCAGCAGTTTAATAAATCTGATAAGTGACACGAGACTGGGCTCGACTGAATGACCCACGGAACAAGCAGGGAGCGACAATGGAACCCTATAAATCTAGGTCGCGTTAGACGGCTAATAAAGCCCACCTGCATTTATTTACTACTACTACTACTACTATACCCAAAACTATTTTCCTGAATTATTTTAACAGTCTTTGCTCTTTCTATGGCTGATCTCAACGATGTAATCTTTTCCAACTGTATCGTTCTTTTTACAAAACCGTCGGTCAATGCGGAAATAAACTGCGCACACGCAAATTTGTTGCGCATCGCATCGGTATGCTCAGGGTAAATCAATCGTTCTAATCTCTCAATATCGGAACCGAGAGAAGCCGCGCTTTCTCCGAATTTTTGTTTTCTACTTGTCAACGTGATTCATGCAAATGTTTTTAATTTCGCGCTTGGCGCTACTGTGAGATGTCGTAGGAGTGATGTAACGTTACCGAATGAGGGCGCCTTGTGTGGCGGCATGTTTTTGTAGTAATAAGCAAAGACAACGACTGAACACAACACGCAGATTCATCAAGAATAAATTTACACCAGTGTGCAATCAACTATCGAAGAGTGTTTATTAATTACCCACGCAAACATAATTTTGGTCCTTCGAGCCGGATCCAGCCGCGGTTAGCTGGATTTCTAAAAGGCGCATCGTGCGTGGCGGCACATCGAGACTTTGCAGGCATCATTTTCCTCGTGGCTGCTTGCGAGCAAAGTAGTCGGGAAGCCCGTTCACAAGGCAAGTGTCGTCGAATCATAAAGGAAGGTGCATTCGCAGTGCACGAATATATTCAACAGCGGATTAGAGGTTAGACACAGCCAACGCAGCGCAATATAACCTCTGACGCAAGAACGTTCATGAGCCCTCGATCGCCATAACGAGAAATCCATTCGTTACGATCGCAATATTTCAAAACAAACGTAAGCAGCGGTGACACAACATGTCGACGCAAGACGAAAATAAGAAATTGAAGCAGCGGCGCGCAACAATAAAGGCGCAATGCACAAGGGCGCAATCATACATAGAAGGTCAGGATGCTCAGCGTGCAACAATCATCGAGCTACGCATACGGCTACAAAAGCTCAATAGCATATGGAACGAATTTGATCAAGTTCAAGCAAGAATTGAGAAGCTCATCACCGAGGAGGCAGCTGTCGCAGAAGAGAACGACGAAAGAATTAATTTCGAGGAGAAATACTACGCGGTTACGACGGCCTTTGAAACTTTAATTCAAGAAATACAATTACCTATGAATCAACCTTTAATGCAAGATGTCCAGGTAAGAGAAGGTACTCCCATGACTGGGACAGGCCTAGTCAACAATAACCTCAAATTACCTCGAGTAAGTATGCCCACTTTCTCTGGCAAATCACTTATTTTACGCTCGGACTAGCTCGTCGGTTGAAATAAGATGCGAGTCGCGTAAAAAGGTTCGGCAGGAGGAGTATTCGCGTCGGATCGGAGATACGGAGATGTTAAATGAAACGGAAGTGATATGAAATAATAGTTGAAGAATTGACTAACACGATTTATTATAAAGAATGAAAATAAGATAATATGAAATACAAAGATAAAATACAGAGTATGATACTAGACGGCACGCGAATAACAGAAATATATATAATATCGCAGGACGGACGCGGACAATACAATAATTCTTAGTTCTAGTACGCGCGTTATTTACAAGCGGTCGCGAGGTGTCAGCAGGTACCGGAACACGTACGAGATCGGCAGTTCGCGCGCACGGTGAGGCGGTCCTGCTGACGTCGCGAGTTTTTTTTGGCGGTCGACTGATTCGCGGCGCGGCTTGTGCGAAGCGGTGTTTGTCACCGCGGCGGAACGCGGGTATACGCCAGCAAAATGGAAAATCGCGGCGCGACGTGTAAATCGAAGATGTGTGCGAACTGCGAAGGAAAAGGAGCCGATACTTGATGACCGGGAACGCCCGACAGAGGCAGGGTATGCCCTACCCCTCAGGTTCGTCGGAACGAGCGCGAGTCTCTGGATCGGTCTCGAAGCGTGGTCTAGGATCTGGTGAACGGAGCTGTCAGGATGAGAACGGCGGAAAAATGCCACGCGCGGCTCGTCGTCGCGGTATTTTATACTAGACCGCCAGTCTCGCTCGCATTACCCCGGCTATCCTCGATAATCTCCGCCGATCGGCTTCTCGTGGGAGAAGATTTCCGATCGGCGGTCCCCGGCGGCGGTCGGAGTTTTCCGGCGAGACTGGCGATTTCGGCGGCTGCTGTCGTTCCTGTGAATTATGTTAATATATGTATATACAGGCGCCTTGCCCTTACTTCCGTTGGCACCACGTAGGGACGATGCATTTTAGGGGGGCATCGTTACATATTTAGTATATATAAAACAATCATATTGTTCGAGCAAAACCAAAGTAAGACTAGCAAATTTTAAATAGCGTGCGCTGCAGGCGTTTCTTCGCATCTCTCGCGCATCAACGTAGCGCAGATCGAGAGCGCGATCGGCTTGGCGGCGCCTTTTCATTTTTGTTCATCATCTTGACGACAAAAATAATATATTGTTGATCTTGCTGATACGAGTTTCGGTAAATGTCTCGATAAGGGGACTCCCCTCCAATGACTTTGACCTTGACATATGTTGTCAAGGTCATGACCCCGAGTAATCCTCAACAGGTTTTAACCGTCGCTCGTCCTTCGTTAAAAAGTTATTAACAATTATAGTTGTTTATAACTAATTAACGTATGCTATACATGTATGATATTGTTACGCCCGCACGACTGATTTACGAATTCGAGCAAGCCCGCGCTCCCGCGACGCGGAAATGAGTACACAAGATTGCGGAAGAACACAGAACTCTCTTTATTGCAAGCGATACAGAGCGATCGAAGAATGGAAAAGCAGGAGCTGACGTGACATGTCCGAACGAAGTGGCCGTCAGTCAAAAACTTGTTGATTTATAAAAGACGACGTCGTCTTGACAACGCGTTCCTTATTTCCAAATTCGAAACGAAGACGATCCAACGGGCGTCGGCACGGAACGGGCATAACACTGCCCCTCCTCTTCCTCAGATTGTCGTCCCGACAATCAATCAAGTTTCTCTGTAGATTGGGCTTTCCATTTGTCGTTCTTTTGAACGGTTTCCTGCTCTACCCTGAGCTGCTGCTACAGGTTACCGAGCACCGATTCTCTTAGCACCAAAAGATTTCTAAGTTGGACCCCTTTCGACCCTTCCTAGGAGAGGGCCAGTCTCCTCGGCATCGAATTCCGGGAATCCTTCTTTGTCTCTTCGGAATCCACTTGACTCTTCTCTTGAGCCTTGCGGATTCTTTCTTCCTTTTTCGGACAAGGGTGAGGATTCAGACTTCTTCTGCGGTACCTTCGTCCCTCAGGACCTCCCCAAGTCCTCGCCTTGGCATCTGCCCAACGTCCCGCGGAAAAACCGCAGATCAAAAACGCGCGAGCAAGGCGGTCTTCTTAAAAAAATGCAACTCAATGAGAAAGGTGGTCCACTGCCCCGCCGACAACCTCCCGTCGTATTCGAGTCATCCTCTCTTTCTTTTCGTCACGACTCTGTAACTTAAATAAATTAAAACAGGCAGCTTATATTGCTAAGAAAATCATACGCCTAACAATAAGCAGGAAAATTAAACACTTAATGATACGAGGCCCCCGACATAAAAAAATTTATTGTTAATAAGGTGCTAGCCTATTTAAATGCACAATTTTATTTTTATGTTGGTTCGACTTGCGTACACCACGTCACTAAGTTTCTTTATAACAAAATAAGGGCCTTCCCAATTACATTGTAATTTAGGAGACTTTCCTTTTATTCTACGAGCATTAAACAGCCAGATCCGCTGTCCTTTCTCAAACTGGATTTTTCTGGCTTTTTGATCATACCAGGTTTTAGTTTGTGAAGATTTAATATCTACCCGCTTCCTTACGCCTTCATAAATGTTCTCCAATTTCCTGTTTACTTTTCCTAAATAGCCCACAAGAGAGTCTGCTCCCTGGGCTCTAGGCGGATTACCTCGCAATAAATCCATCGGCAACCTAAGGTCCTGAGCAAGATAGAGTTCCGCCGGGGTTAACCCGGTCGTTTCGTGTTTAGAAGATCTATACACCAATAAGAAAAGTGGGATCCATCGATCCCAATCCCTCTGATTTTCCGAGATGAATTTAGCCAAATAATCTAAAATCGTCCGATGCTGTCGTTCCACTTATCCATCCGATTGAGGATGAAGGGCAGTAATCCTCGTTTTCCTAATTCCTAACATGCCTGACAGCTCACGGAAAATTCTCGATTCGAAGTTCCTTCCTTGGTCGGTGTGCACCTCCAAAGGAACTCCGCCTAGAAATAACTTGATTTAAAAACATTTCCGCAATAACTTTGGATCTAACATTTCTTAAAGGGAAAGCTTCCACTCATTTAGTGAAGCAATCTAAGACGACTAATAAATACCTGTTTCTGGAAGAAGACGCAGGTAACGGTCCAAGAATATTTAACTGAACTCTTTCGAATGAAGAACCTATGTTGTATATCTGTAAAGGAAACTTTCCTTTTCCACTCGGGCCTCTTCTTGCTATACAAATCTTACAAGTGCATCATTCCTCAACATCTTGTTTGCACGTTGCCCAGTAAAATCGCTTTCGTACCTTGTCTAGTGTTTTATTAATACCAAAATGTCCCCCCGTGGGAGAATTGTGCGCCTCCTCCAAGATTTGCCTCACACAACTTCTAAGCACAATTAATTGGAACACGGTCTTCCTCAGATTAGAAGCTTAACAACAGATTAATAACATGTTCTCCAATTTTACAATTGCCCGCAATAACATTGTCGGAAAATACACCACAAAAATTATCCAGGAATCTAGCAAAGTTTTCCTTTTCAGCCTCATTCAAATACTGAGAACTTTCTTTAAAAGGGGTTGTCATGTTAGACGGAACTGCTTTAGACACGATGTTCTCTATACGGGAACACTTTGTCACCGTATCGAACTCAGAAACCGTATTGAAAAACATTGTATCGAAGACATTTTGCAAATTGAAAAATCTAAGAAAATTGACCCCCAAAATGCAATCATCATTTATCTCAGCTACTAAAATTGAAAACATCAAGGTATAATTCGCAAGTCGAACTTTAACTTTAACTTTATATTTAACTAAAACTTGTTCCCCCGTGGGATATCTAACGTTACAATTACAAACTTCCATCTTTTGTCTATCAAATTTCAAAAAGTTCTTGTTAATAATAGAACGTCGGAGCCCGTATCAATTTTAAAAATACAATGTTTATCATTCATCTCCCCTTCGTAACAAAATTCCCTCAAGTCCCGTTTAATCTTATTCTCCCTGAAAAAAACATAGATTAGTACAAGCATTTTCACACAAAGAAAATTGATTTTCAACACAAAGATTATTTTCTTTATTTACAATTCCATTTGACCTGAAAGAGCAATCATCATTAATAAAATCAGCGATACGACATTGCCGATCAGTACCGCAAATATTCATCGGGGTATCTAAATCTCCAGTCAAGCTCACCCCGCCAAGCTCGACTATTCCTTGTTTCCCGTTTCCGTCCCCGCTTTGCCTGGATACTCAGATCGAAAGTGCCCCTCCTTTCCGCACTCCCAACACTCTCTCTTATTACCAAATTTTACTCCGTTCTTATTTTTCGAAAATTTTCCCTTCCAATTTTCCTTCTCTCTTTTCTCTTTATTATTTTCTCCCCCTTTACCATATTCACATTCTTTTCTTCTTTCTTTACTATTTTGAAAATCATTTCTATACCCAAAATCTGGAGCAGAAAGAACGCCGGCTATGTGGAGAAGAAAGCAAGGACAAAACCTGCACCTACTGTGCCGATGCCCTGCACTCGCTTGTAAAAGATATAAATCCTGGGGACATATGTTTTTGACACCCAAGGATCTAGAAAATGCGAAGGTCAGCAGTTTAATAAATCTGATAAGTGACACGAGACTGGGCTCGACTGAATGACCCACGGAACAAGCAGGGAGCGACAATGGAACCCTATAAATCTAGGTCGCGTTAGACGGCTAATAAAGCCCACCTGCATTTATTTACTACTACTACTACTACTATACCCAAAACTATTTTCCTGAATTATTTTAACAGTCTTTGCTCTTTCTATGGCTGATCTCAACGATGTAATCTTTTCCAACTGTATCGTTCTTTTTACAAAACCGTCGGTCAATGCGGAAATAAACTGCGCACACGCAAATTTGTTGCGCATCGCATCGGTATGCTCAGGGTAAATCAATCGTTCTAATCTCTCAATATCGGAACCGAGAGAAGCCGCGCTTTCTCCGAATTTTTGTTTTCTACTTGTCAACGTGATTCATGCAAATGTTTTTAATTTCACGCTTGACGCTACTGTGAGATGTCGTAGGAGTGATGTAACGTTACCGAATGAGGGCGCCTTGTGTGGCGGCATGTTTTTGTAGTAATAAGCAAAGACAACGACTGAACACAACACGCAGATTCATCAAGAATAAATTTACACCAGTGTGCAATCAACTATCGAAGAGTGTTTATTAATTACCCACGCAAACATAATTTTGGTCCTTCGAGCCGGATCCAGCCGCGGTTAGCTGGATTTCTAAAAGGCGCATCGTGCGTGGCGGCACATCGAGACTTTGCAGGCATCATTTTCCTCGTGGCTGCTTGCGAGCAAAGTAGTCGGGAAGCCCGTTCACAAGGCAAGTGTCGTCGAATCATAAAGGAAGGTGCATTCGCAGTGCACGAATATATTCAACAGCGGATTAGAGGTTAGACACAGCCAACGCAGCGCAATATAACCTCTGACGCAAGAACGTTCATGAGCCCTCGATCGCCATAACGAGAAATCCATTCGTTACGATCGCAATATTTCAAGACGAACGTAAGCAGCGGTGACACAACATGTCGACGCAAGACGAAAATAAGAAATTGAAGCAGCGGCGCGCAACAATAAAGGCGCAATGCACAAGGGCGCAATCATACATAGAAGGTCAGGATGCTCAGCGTGCAACAATCATCGAGCTACGCATACGGCTACAAAAGCTCAATAGCATATGGAACGAATTTGATCAAGTTCAAGCAAGAATTGAGAAGCTCATCACCGAGGAGGCAGCTGTCGCAGAAGAGAACGACGAAAGAATTAATTTCGAGGAGAAATACTACGCGGTTACGACGGCCTTTGAAACTTTAATTCAAGAAATACAATTACCTATGAATCAACCTTTAATGCAAGATGTCCAGGTAAGAGAAGGTACTCCCATGACTGGGACAGGCCTAGTCAACAATAACCTCAAATTACCTCGAGTAAGTATGCCCACTTTCTCTGGCAAATCTGAAGAATGGATCTCATTCCGTAATATGTTTCACAATATGATTGAAAAAACGCAGCACTACCCGACGTGCAAAAGATGTAGTACCTATTATCGTCTCTCAAAGGAGAAGTTTTCGACGTAATAAGTTCCCTAGACGCTTCGGCAGAAAACTACAGAGAAGCCTGGCAAATGCTAAAGAGCAGATACAACGACCCAGGACTTATTGTTGAAAATCACGTGAAGGCGTTATTCGATCTGCCAACCATGAGCAAGGACAATCATGCCACGCTGCGAAGGCTATTGGATACTGTATTGAAACGTACCCGCGCACTTAAGGCGCTCAGAAGGCCCCACCGATCGCTGGGATGATTTATTAATACATTTGGTGACAAGCAAATTAGACCGATTGACATACAGAGAGTGGGAGACTACTATAGAGCGAGGTAACATTCCAGAGTTTGAATAGTTGATTAACTTCTTGAATCAAAGATGCAGAGCTCTGGAGGCGGCATCGCGTTCATCGAGTACACCAGATCCGTCGCATAAGGATAAAACGGCGCACGATAGGAGCACTACGGCTCATGTAACGACCACTAAGAATACGTGTGGATTTTGTCGGAAGGAAAATCATGCTATTTACAAATGTAAAGATTTTTTGGATCTCAGCGTCGAGCAGCGGATGAAAGAAGCAAGATCACACAAATTATGCTTAAACTCCCTAAAAGCTGCATCACACCTGGCAAAGGAATGTACGGCCAGAACATGTCGAAAATGTAGCAAACGTCACAACACCTTGTTGCATTTAGAACAAGCATCGAAGAATCAATCTGACTCCGACGCCAAGAAGGAGAAGGTTGACGATTCAGAAAATACGAAATCAGTAACTGCGAGCAACGCAACAGTTAATCAAGAGCATCAAGTTTTATTAGCAACCGCGCTAGTAAATGTACTAAACAGCAAGGGAGGAGTCAAGTCAATTCGTGCACTCTTAGATAACGAATCTCAGTCGTGTTTCATCACGAAAGATTGTTGCAAACAATTAGGACTTCATTCACAAGATACAAATATTCTGGTGTGTGGAATCGGAAAACAATCTATACAGACAAGAAACATCGCGACAGTCATCATACACTCTCGAACGACTGGATACAAGGAAGAATTGGATTGTCTGATCGTGGACAACATCACACAGGATCTTCCTACTAATAGAATAAGCAGAAATGAACTCCAAGTGCCAGAGGGCATCGTATTAGCAGACCCACAATTCAATCAACCGTCAAGAGTAGATCTGCTATTAGGAGCGGAGATATTCCTCGATTTACTGTGTAGCAGTAGAATAAAGCTGGCGGATAATCAGCCAACTTGGCAAAAGACATTGCTAGGGTGGATCGTCTCCGGAGAGCTGACAATGATGACAAACTCCAAGAGCAGAATCTGTAATTTGTCCGTGAACGAGCAGCTAAACAACAGCCTTATGAAGTTTTGGCAGTTAGAAGGTTATGACAAGATAAATACAAGAACATCAGAAGAACGTGCATGCGAAAACCACTTCGCCAAAACTTACAAAAGAAATGCGGAAGGAAGGTTCATCGTGACGCTACCGATCAAGGCAGATATTCTCAACAATTTAGGTCACTCAAGGGATATCGCGACGCGGCGATTATACAGCCTGGAGAGAAGGTTAAAGCGAGAACCACAACGTAGAATTGAATACAACAGATTCATGCGCGAATACTTGAAATTAGGGCACATGCGCAAACTTCAAGAGCCTGTCAATGACGAGATATCTTATTTCTACATGCTACATCATTGCGTCATCAAACACAGCAGTACTACAACGAAGCTAAGAATTGTCTTTGACGCCTCAAGCAAGACTACAAGTGGCATTTCGCTGAATAATGTACTTATGATAGGGTCAGTATTACAGCAAGAAAGTCTGTCAATATTACTGCGTTTTCGAATATATGAATATGTCTTAACGGGAGATCTCGAGAAAATGTATAGGCAGATTCTCATAAATGAAGAACAAGCGCCATTACAAAAGATCCTATGGAGAGAAGATCCATCAGGTACTATAGAAACATATGAGCTACGTACACTAACGTATGGAACGTCGTCAGCGTCATTTGTGGCCACGAAGGTCAACAATTAGCAGAATTAGAAGCACATTCATTTCCGAAAGGATCATTAATAGCATGCAGGGACTTCTATGTCGACGATCTCCTCACAGGTGCAAACAGCAAGGCAGAAATAGTCGAGATCCGAGATCAACTAATACACATGGTTGATAAAGGCAGTTTCAAAATACGTAAATGGACATCCAACAATAATGAGATCTTACAGGATCTAGCGAGTTCGTCCAAGGGTCAGTTGTTAGAATTGGACAAAGAAGGATCTGCAAAAACTCTAGGCATCAATTGGAATCCAACCAAAGATTTATTCCAATATCACATATTGAGCGATGCTCCGAATCCAAGTATGTATACAAATTAATTCTATCACAAACATCACAAATATTCGATCCACTAGGACTTCTAGGCCCAATCATCATAACTGCAAAACTTATGATTCAACAACTATGGAAGATGCAAATCGATTGGGATGAATCATTACCCATGGATCTCCAAGCAAAATGGTCACATTACATCAAGGAGTTACAGATATTAAAGGAGCTTACCACGGAAAATCATAGTTAGCGATCAGGACATTCGCAAAGAAACCCACGGGTTCTGCGACGCGAGTGAGCGAGCCTATGGTGCTTGTATCTATATGCACAGCATCCAAACAGACGGAGCTATCGAGGTACACTTAATATGCTCCAAATCTCGTGTCGCACCGGTCAGGGCATTGTCCATACCCCGGTTGGAGTTTTGTGGAGCATAATTGTTAGCTCAACTTATGCACAGGGTTGTAAACGCCTTAGAAATCAATATTGACAGCAAACATTACTGGACTGACTCATCAATTGTTCTTCATTGGCTTCAAGCAAGCAACAAGAAACTACCGGTCTTCGTAGCTCATAGAATTGGAGACATTCAGGAAACAACATCAGTCGAAAGTTGGAAACATGTCGGTAGCGCAGAAAACCCCGCTTTTGACAAGGACATCAAGAATTTAAGAAGCAAAGGAGTTGTATCAAGTCGAAGCAATTTGAAACAATTAAATCCATTCATCGATGAAGAAAATTTAATACGAGTTGGCGGTAGGCTCCAACGTTCTCACTTACAATCGGATGTCAAGCATCCATACTTATTGCATCAACGATCACATCTCACAAGGCTTATTGTTGAGCACGAACATCAAAGACTCATGCATGCAGGAATGGAAGCAACTCTAGCCGCAGTACGACTTAAATACTGGCCGCTCAGGGCGCGCGGCACAATAAGAAAGTTACTGCGAAAATGCATAAGATGTTTCAAGCATAGGCCAAGGTTTTCGGAACAGATAATGAGAAATCTACCTATGCATCGAGTTATACCTTCAAGACCATTCAGTTGCGTAAGCATAGACTTTTGCGGATTAATATACGTTCGTGAAGGATCACGCAGAAATAGTAAAAACTTAAAGGCCTATGTCGCAATATTCGTTTGCTTGGCAACAAACGGTCCATTTAGAGGTGGCCTCGAACTTGAGCACTGATGAGTTTCTCAACGCCTTCAAGAGGTTTACTGGACGGAGAGGCAACCCTTCAGATGTCTTTTCTGATAACGGCACCAATTTCGTTGGCGCAAATCGTGAGCTAGAGGAGCTTCGAAAGTTGTTCAATCAAGAGGAACATCAGTGCAGAATAATAAACGAGACATCTATGGATCAAATCAAGTGGCATTTCATCCCTCCACGAGCTCCTCATTTTGAAGGACTTTGGGAAGCTACAGTCAAATCGTTCAAGAGGCATTTCAACAAAATCGCCTATAATGTTACACTCAGATTTGAGGAGGCATCAACTTTGGCCATCCAGATAGAAGCCATTCTCAATTCGAGACCATTAATTGCCGTATCTCATGATCCCAATGATTTAAGTTATGTTTCAGCAGGCCACTTCCTTATAGGCGACGCGATAGTATCATATCCAGAACCAAACATAACTCACATAAAGACGAACCGGTTGTCGAGATGGTAACATTTGGAACAGATGAAGCAACACTTCTGGAGACGTTGGTTACCTGAGTACCTGCTCCAGCTCCAAAACCGGACGAGGTGGCAGTCGAATCATGGACCAGTCTTAAGGTTGGACAATTAGTAGTTTGTCGTGAAGACGGACTACCCCCCTTTAAATGGATGCTAGGAAGAGTCGAGGAAGTTTTTCCAGGTAACGAAGGTATTGTTCGAACAGCAATGATCAAGACATCAAGCGGCTCATATAAGAGGCCAGCCACTAAATTGGCCATATTACCCATCGAAGATGATTTAGATAATAAGAAAGAATAATATGTTGCATTACTCCTATTATAATACATCCTTTTCTCTGTTCTATTTTTTCGCCTTTCAACCCTCATAAGTTGCTATTTGTCAACTCACTCACACATTCGAATATTAAGTTAATTAAGTTTGTATTTTTCGTTATCAATTGTTCGTTAATCACTTGCGGTATTTATGTTTTGATAGCTGGAATCTATCAAGGCGCGCGGTATGTCAGCGTGATTCATGCAAATGTTTTTAATTTCGCGCTTAGCGCTGTGAGATGTCGTAGGAGTGATGTGACGTTACCGAATGAGGGCGCCTTGTGTGGCGGCACGTTTTTGTAGAAATAAGCGAAGACAACGACTGTACACAACACGCAGATTCGTCAAGAATAAATTTACACCAGTGTGCAATCAACTATCGAAGAGTGTTTATTAATTACCCACGCAAACACTACTAGTAAATTGCGTGTAATATGCCTGTGCGGATTGTGCCTCTCCGTAGCGCAATTCTCTAACTTAGTTTTTAACGCCACAAAATCTAGATCCTCTAAATTTTGTATGCCCTTTAATACCGTACGCGCTTCTCCCCTCAAACATAAAATTAGGACGACCATTTTTATCCTCTCGTCCCAATAATTCGCGCATGCAATTAAATTAAATTGAGAAAGAAATTCTCGTAAAGGAACACTCCCGTCAAATCTGACTTTAATTTTACACTCATGAAATGATTCGTGACACTCGCGACCGAAGGTGCAAAAAAATCGCAACGGTTAGCCGTGTTTAAGGCCATTCTACATAAGACGCAGAACACAGTTCGCAGGTCGCAAGACTAGAAACTAACCTAACATATTTTAGTTATAATAGATTGTAGGACGCAGAACGCAGGACGCAGGAAGTTGGGTGAATTTCAACTTTTGCGTCCTGCGTCGAGCGTCCTTCACATTTCGGTCTGCAACCTATCACAATCTAAAATACGTTTCACTCGCGACCTGCGATCTACGTTCTGCGTCTTATGTAGAATGGCCTTTACATTAAAAGTACTCGCGATAGTTCCGACGCTACTCGCGGTTTGCACGGCGGACGCAGCACGATCGGTTTCCCTCGCGGCACGAGCACTTTCATTTCGGGCGGACGGATCGCGATTAATAACATTATTGGGAAGACTTAGCTGTGTCGCAGAGATTCCACGCAGCCTTTCCTGTAACTAGAAAATCTCTGCATCACGTTGACATAATGTCGCCGTAAACTCCTCCTGTCTCTGCTGTTGTTCTCTCCGTATAAGTTGAACTTCTTGCAGCACTGCTTGCAGAGCGGCAGCTGTGGGCTATAGCAGAGAACGAAAGATAACATGCGTAGTCGTAACGTAAGGTAAGGCAGAGAAAAACGTAGCTGTCGTAGTAATGAAATAGTGACTGGCAGTCACTACTACGACAGCTACGTTTTTCTCTGCCTTACCTTATGTTACGACTACGCATGTTACGTCTCGTTCTCTGCCATAGCCCTATCGAGGAAGATCTCTCCGCCGTACTCAACGTCGCCGGAAGATCTTCCTCCGTGATAAGCCTCCTCATACGTAGAGTAGGACGTAGCGTATAAGGCATCGCGTCAGATGTACACAGCACTCTCGCTCGACCCAGCCGTCTGATCCACTCATAACACCGTTCGCACGGACGAGTCCCCAAAGTGTTATGCCCGCACGACCGATTCGCGAATTGGGTTGATGAAAAAAATTTTTTTTTATATTTAAAATGTTTTTATGCAAATAGTTTATTGAAAAACGTCCTTTTTGTTGTTTTTTTCGTAATATTAACGAAGATTTCGATTTTATAAAATATTATTTCAAACTCATTGCCGACGACGCACCGATCACGCCCGAAGTTTCCCGAGCGGTCTGTGACGTCACAATGTTACATGCCGTGTACGATATTATATTGAGATTTCGATCTTTTAATAAAAATGACAACAATTCAAACATATAGGACGTGTTTCGTCCCTCTCTGTCGTAATACAACCAAAAGTACACCAAATAAAGTGTTCGCAACAGTGCCACAAGACGTGAAACTTCGTTAGAAATGGTTTAATGCCGTTCGAAGAGATAACCTCAAAAACAGCAAATCGAACTTCTTTTACTGTGAAAACCATTTCAATGTAAGTAAATCAGTATATACTGATAATTTTCAATATCCTCTCGTAGCTATAAGTATATAATATTTTTTAAGCACATAAAAAATTAGAAAAAGAGTTATTAATAGCTAGATGAAATGATATATCAAAAAGAAAATAATTTGATTATTTAATATATACTTAGACTATTAAAATGTTTACTTACATTGAAATGGTCTTCACAGCAAGAAGTTCGATTTGCTGTTTTTGAGGTTATCTCTTCGAACGGCATTAAACCATTTCTGACGAAGTTTCACGTCTTGTGGCACTGTTGCGAACACTTTATTTGGTGTACTTTTGGTTGTATTACGACAGAGAGGGACGAAACACGTCCTATATGTTTGAATTGTTGTCATTTTTATTAAAAGATCGAAATCTCAATATAATATCGTACACGGCATGTAACATTGTGACGTCACAGACCGCTCGGGAAACTTCGGGCGTGATCGGTGCGTCGTCGGCAATGAGTTTGAAATAATATTTTATAAAATCGAAATCTTCGT